TATATATATATAATAATATACTTAATAATTATTTCATAAATTAAAATTCATTACAAATCTAATAATCTACATGCTTTATATTGATAAATATTATCATATTTGATATTATTAAATATCTTGATATAATTTAAATATATTTAATATATTATATTTAAATATATTAAAGTACATTTATTGTCAATAAGAAATCTAAAAAATGATATAAATATGTATGTAAAGTTTATATACATAATATTAGATTAAATAAAGATAGAATTAATAAATTAAAATACATGTTAATTTATTAAATAATCATTAAAATTGTGATAATTTGTAAATAAAATAATAATGGCATTATCTATATGTGGGGTATTATCAAAGTATGTCGAAGAGTAGTGACAAGATACCCAATAATCATTCAAGCAACACAAGCAGGTAAAAATCCTGCATTTCTAAAATATTAAAAATTATTTTATCGTTGAACATATTAATTATTCATAGTATCAAATTAACAGGTATATTAATGGCATTGGGAGATCAAATTGCACAAAATTTTATTGAACAAAAAAAATTTAAGGAATTAGATTTTCTAAGAACAGCTCAATTTGGAAGTATAGGATTTTTTATTACTGTAAGTCAATTTGATTCAAAAATGCTAAAAGTACTTAAAATTTAATTATAACATTTATAATATTAATTTATTAATATATTTACTTAATAATATATTTTTTTATTAAAATTTAATAATAATTCAATAATTAAATTATGATTAAATTCTTTATAGTGAATAATAAAATAAATAATAAATTATATAATTATAGTGTAATTAAATAAATAATAAATTAATTAATTATTTAAATTATATAAAAAATAAATAAATTGTATAAAAAATCATATAACATTTTATAAAATAAATTTCATTTAATGAATATAACAGGGACCTGTAACAAGAACCTGGTATGGAATATTAGATAAATATATTGGCTCAAAGACTGGAATTGCAGTATTAAAGAAAGTAGCTTGTGATCAATTAATTTTTGCACCTGCAGGTTTAGGAATTGTGTTAACAACTGTTGGTCTTTTACAAGGAAAAGATTTTGAACAAATAAAAACGAAATTATCTAATGAATATCTAGATATTTTACTTAATAATTATAAAGTAATATAATAATTTTACAATAAATTCTAAAATTATATATAAAATGTTAATATATTTATGTGACATTTTTGAAGAATCAATATTAAAGACCAGAATAAATAAAAAATTAATATATAAAAATATCAATTTAAATTTAATAAATAAATTAATAAATAATTTATAAGCAATTTATATTTACATTTAAATGAAGTAAAATAAAGATAGAAAAAAATAGCTTTTTCTATCAGTCTGCAATTTCATTCCATTTCTATCTCACTTCATTTAATGTAAACTTAAATGCTTGTAATTTAACACTTTAATTATATCAATATTACATCAATGCAATATTTATTTTAAAAATATTAAATTCAAGATTAATATTTTAAATTTTTAAATTTTTTATAAAAATTAATTGCATATAATTTTTTTATTATAATGTTTTTTAAAAATAAATATATTTCCACTAATGATTAATAATAAGATTTTTAATAATTTTTATATTGTTTATAAAATAGATTTATATTAGGCAACTTGGAAGTCAAATTGCTCAATTCCAGTTATTTATTTTATTCAATTAAGTTTTATCCAATTTAGTTATATGAAAGATGTTCCACGAATATATTAACACCCTGTACATTTAATAAATTCTATAAAAAATGTATAATTCTTTTTTTCAGATTTGGCCTATAATACAACTAATTAACTTTTATTTTATACCTTTACAATATCAAGTTCTATTAGTACAATCGGTAGCTATTTTATGGAATACTTATGTATCATATAAGACATTTACTTTAGGAGAACAACAAAAAAGGCAAATAGATGTATATATAAAATAAGTAAAAATTTATAAACATATATTTTTTTTAAATACAGATGTTAACACTATTAAATTTAAATATTGTTCACAATAACATAATAAAAAGTTAAACTTTTGAATAATATATTTATAATATTAATCATTAAAAATAAACAATATAGTATTTTATCATAAAACAACGATAGCATTGTAAATAATCACAAAAGCATTTTGTTATAAGTTATTAAAAAATGTGTTTATAATTACAATAAAGTATTTGATCTCAAGATAACTATATATATATACATATATATATATAGTTTATATATTTTCTGAATTAATATATGTTTTTAATTATTATTTATATTTAGTCATATAAACGTCATAATTTATATTTATATCATAATAATTTTTTCTATAAAAAAACTGGTATTTTTTACAAATGTATATATTTTTTTATGTATTAGGAATAACATTATTTTATGGAATGTTATTGTTTTTAATAACCATTAAATCATTATATGTAAATATATATTATTTTAAGTACGTACAAGAATATTTGAAATAGTAAAATAAACGAAAATTAAATTTAAAATAAAATTGTAGTCTATTTAAGTCATCATATATCTATTTTATATATATGTGTATGTATGTATACACATATATATATATATATATATATATTTAAGCATATTTAAACCATTACCATTAACAATAATAATTCACATTGGAACTTTTTCTGCTTTTGCAACTGCTGCAGGTATGGTTTCATTAGTTTTAGATGATATACACGTCCCGAGTAATTCTGGACACGATATTTCATTAGATACTATTTTTTGTATTTTTTTTAATAAGTCATAGTTGATACGTTGTGTTATTATGGAATCGTATCTATATTAATACAATATAAGATTAGAAATACAATACAAATTTCTACATTTAGAAATACAAAAATACGTACTTATATTCTGGATGTGAAAGAACTTCCTTTCTTAACCATGCAGCAGTTGTTAATAACTCTCCAGAAGATCTTTTTTGTATTAATTTCATGTATGCTTGTACGGTACAATGCGTGTCAGCATCTACATCCATACTAGCTAAATATGAATTTACTAAAGGTATTAAACCCGGAAAAACACCATCCTGTTATAAAAAAATATTATAGAGCATTTTTAATATTAACTTTTGTTAATATTATTTGAAAAAAATGAAAAAATTAATGAAAAAAATATTAATATTAACCTTTCCATTGATAATTTCATTAATAGTAAATTCTGTATATTCTGTTTGTCCATCATCTTGTTTTTTTATATCTGATGTAATATCTCGTCGAAACCAAAATTTTTCTGCTGTAACAGCATTTCTCTTTTGTGCTCGAGCCATATTTTTATCAACTTTACTAATTGGTATGAGCAAATTCAATTTATAACTTAAAATAACTCTTGTAAGAAGAACAATAAAACAAACTATTGCAGCATTTTCAAAATCTGTAATTTGAACTTCGCATGGACGAAATTCAACACGCCACCCTATAGATGAATTTGGTGGTGGTGGTTTAAATCGCATTGTTTGCCAATTAGTTGATTGTATATTCTGAAATTTTATAAATAATAGTTGTATAATCAAATAAAAGTTAAATTTTTAATGTTAAAATTAGTTAATAATAATAATTACTTCAAAATGATCAGTATCCTCCAAATCATTTTGATGCACTTTTTCAGAAAATAAAGATACAGTATCTCTGATGAATAAATGAGCGATATGTTGCGCAAGTAATTTATCAATTCCATTATCTAAAAGTTGTTTATATACTTCATCGTCATAAATTAAGGGAACATCGTTATACTTTTCTCCTTGTACACTAAGATATGAATCAATAGAATCATATCTAGATTTATTAATTCTAAATTTGTTTTCTTTTAAAGGTTTTAGACCACGTTCTTCTTGTGTTCTGCAGTCTACAGAGCAAGATATCACATTCCATCGACAATCAACATCGCTTATATATCCTCGGTAAAATGGACTAGCAGCAGTTACAGCCAACTGTCGAATTTTAAACAAATGTTCTGTAACGTATGTGCGAAAGAATATGCTAACTTCATATCTTCAGAATTTATTATTAATATAATATATAAAATATAATTATATATATAATTATAATAATATAAAATATAATTATTATTTACATATTACTGACCATTATTGGACATAAAGGTGTTAATTGATCATATAAAGTTCTTGCTTCTTCTATATTACAAGCTTGGAAAGTGAGTTGTAAACAACAACATCCCATTCCAAAACCCATAGCATCCATATAAATATGATCTTCTTTAGCTGCACAATTTGATTCATCTTCAATTAAAGAACTAAGATCCTCCTTAAATGGATTTGGAACATTTTTATCTTTATAAACTGCAAAAAAATACTATTTGTTAAATTATTTTATTTATAAAAAAATATATATATTTTATATATATATTATATAATAAATACATACTAGGAATGTTTATAGCTACTTTTTCTCCGCGTCGTTTCCTTATATTTCTTGTCAAAGTTTTAAATCGAGGATGACCAGGATATATAGCTTCATCCGGAAAAAATAAACTTTTTGATGATCCTGAATTTGGAGTTGGATGTGTAGGAGGATCTGTGAAATCATGTGCTCCTGTTCTGTAAGAGAATATATAAAATAATAATTCTTTTTATCAAATATAATAAATTATGATAGAATTAATAAATTATGATAGTATTTAATTAAATATAATTAAAAATATCAAATATACCTAGGAAAATTAGTTAAAGACATTAAAACCTCATTAGGTCCCAGTAATTTTGAAGCTTCTTGTCTTCTATATTTCATATTAGCTTCAACAATATTAAAATGAACTAATAAACCACCATAGGGTTTCCCTGGTGTTCCTTCTAGCATATAAGCACCATATTCAGGTCTCCATAATGATTTAATATTGCTATGAAATAAATATATATTATTTTTTATTATTTTATAATTATTAAAATTATATAATTATTATATAATTATATATATCAATATGTCATTATATTAAATAAATTAAATAAATGTTATAAAGAATCAATATATATTTATATATACAATATTTATAAATAATATAAATTTAAACTCTTATTTAAAAAAAATATGAAATACTTACACTGGATCATTATATTCTTTTTCGTTTAAAGTTTTTAATATTTCTGCAGCTCTTAAACTAAGCTTTGCAATTTTTGCTTCATCATCAAATTTGATAAGCATATATTCAACCTATTTAAGAGATTTTCTTTATTATAAATGTTAAAATTTTCTAAATATTAAAATTACAGTAATAAATAAGAAAATATATTAGTTTTATATTATCTAAATGATATCAATAAATTACATAGTTACAGCAAAAAATATTGACTCAGATCTAGAAATGAACTAATTGGAAAAAAAGTCAAGGTTACATCTTGTAATAGTTTAATAACTAAAATTGATTGCACCATTTATTTATTGTTTCTTTTCAATATTAATATTTCAATTATAATATATAATATAAAAATCCAAGCAAATAAAAATAATATAAACAATAAATTACATAAAATTTAAATTTAATTTTTAAAAATTATAGTTGAATTTAGAATTTTTGAATTTAGTAATAATTAATATTATTATGTTAAATTAAGAATAAAAATTTATCAATAAAATTTTTTTCTTTAAATTAACATGTATTAAAAATTAATATTGCATAATAAATATTTTATATTTAAATTATTCTATATGAAAATAATATAGAAAAAAGTAATATATATTCATTAATATATGAAATATATTACGATTTATGTTTACAAATGTCAAATAAAATATAAAAGTTAAAAAATAAATATTACCTCATCGCCCCATTTGAGTATATCGCCTTGTCGATCTCTAAGTCTTTTGTATAAATTAATAAACTGAATAATTCCATGTTTTCGAACATGATCAGCAAGATTTTTCGTTTCTTCCCAGGTTAAAGGACTTCCCTCGGATAATAATCCCATATCTATACAGGTTAATTAATATTAATTTTTTTTCAAAATTTGACACTCAAAACAAAATTTCGCGGAAGATCGATTCAAACCGATTTGTACCGAGATATACCGAGATATAACTTTACTTCACACTCAGAAAACCATGAAAATTCTATAATAAGATAGTATAAGTATAATAGTATTGATGCTTTGAAGACTAACTACAGCATTTTACGAATGTCCCGTCACTTCAATGATATATACTTAACTACAAGGTAATCATACTCTCCTACCAGAACATTATAACTAGAAATACTGGAGATATCAATTTAAAATTATTTCTGATTTGATAAAAATAATTGTATAATTTTTTTGTATAATCTTAGATTATCTTATCTTTAATTGATTAATATCATTGCAAACATTTTGCTGGTCAGTTCAGATGATTCATATATGTAATTAAAGAAATTAACCCTTAAAATATAGAATACAAATTTAATAGCCAGATAATCTAAGAATTTGTGTAAATTTATGATTTATTTATTTATGATTTAGGGTTATTTATATATATTATAAATAATAAAAAATAGGATAATAAATTTATAAATTGTAAATAAATACATTAAATATTTAATTTATAATAATTAAAATAAGTGTTCAGTATTATGCACTAAATAAAATGAATTGTAAAAAAATTTTTTTTTTTAAAGTATCATATTATATGATACTATATACTATTATATATGATACTATATTTGAAATTCGTCAAATAAGTAAAATTTATTTCAGAATTATATTACTATAATTACTATATAATATAATTATACAATATAATTATTACTTACATATTACTTTATAAATTCTTTTAAATTTATTTAATTATTCCTATAAATATATATGTATATATTGTAATATAAATATATATTCCTGAAATATATATTATACTTTTTAGCATAATAAAATAAAAAATTTCAATATATATTTTAACAGTTTTTAATTTTTTTAGATTAAGAATTAATATCAAGTATTAATTCAATGATATAATATTTATTTTTATTGATAAATAAAAATAAATACATAAAATTATATAAAAATATATATATAAAAATTATAAAAAATCAAATAAAAGGAATGACAAAATGGACCAATATGTATTATAAATCATATTTTATTACAATATTTTTATATTTTAAAAAATTTGTGAATTTAGCCATATCATAATACATACATGTATGTATGTATATTTATATTTTAGTCAAACAAACCGAATCCCATATCTTCATCTTCTGATTCAGATTCTTCTTTCTTTTCTTCTTTCTTTTCTGCAGCAGGTGTTTCTGTAGAAGACACAACTGGTGCAGCAACAGAAACAGTGGTTGCAAATTTACTTGGATCCTAAAAAAATATCATATTAATATTAAATTTTAAATAATCTTGTATAATTAAAATTATATATCTTTTCTTTTTATCAGACTGCGTTTTACGCATTTTTCAACAAAAATCTTACAGTGCCAGTGGGTTCCACTATTTCTAGCTCTGACACTAGTTATATAAGATTATCAGATAAAACATTCATCACATTAATGTTTAAAGAAACTATTTTTATATCATACATTAAATATGAATAAAAAAATATTACATACTTTAATATATTCTTTAATTGTAGTTGCTTCTGGAAATTCAATATCAGTAACAGCAGCTATTGCCAATAAATTCTTGAATCCATTTGCAATACTGTGAGGTGCACTAGCTATTGTTGGATAACCAATAGCTAAGCAAACTGCAGCTAAATTTGCTACTCCAGCCATAAATTTTTCACATAAATCTTCTGGTTTAATATCCAAAATTTCAGGTGCAAAAATAGTACCAGAATCATAAACTTGTTCAACAAGTAAACCATATGAAAATGGAGAAATATTCAGCATGTTTAAAAGAGTAGCTTCAGATGCACCTACTTTATCACCTGGTTTTAAAATATGTACATCATTCTAA